CTGTTCTGTTCTGTTCCATTCCATTCCCCCACTATCCTGTCAGAGCTGAAGAAGCTTCTTGGATGAGAAGTGCAACGTTTTCAAAAGAAAAAACAAGAAAGTCCAGTTGCCTCCTGAAAAAGCACCCTTGAGAGTATATTTTCAGGTTTCTTTGCACTTTATAACTCCATTCAATAATAACTTGCAATCCTGCAATCCTGTAGGATATGTAGGATTACATATCCTGTGGGATATGTCGCATAGAACAGCAATTTTCCATAGATTAAAATTCCATACATTAGAACATAGATGAGCAAATTTAGAATTGTTAACTTGTAGACTATAAAAGAGATTTAAATTCCACAGAAAAAGTAACAAAAATGGAAATAGTCTTCCTCTAGAAATATACAATAGTTCAGCCCCTCCAAATGGAATTCACCAATCTCTTCAAATTAGAAAGCAAATAAAAATAAGGCAGTCAATGAATAAATAAGGTTATAAATTAATGTCATGAAATAAATTTGACATAACACAATTAATAAACCAGAAACATGAAGTATTCAAAATGGCTGGCTGTAACCTAAAAATGTGCAACTTTATTCTCTTTCTCTGCACAATTTGTTAGAAAAGCGAAGTTGCCCAGACACTTACAAATAAATTAATTACAGGGCAGAAATGCTACAGATTTTTACTATGAAAATTTTAGAATGTGATTATTTAGTACTAAGTTTTATTTAACCATGATTCTTTAAAAAATTCTCTTTCAATCACAAAATGTTTTACAAGGTTTTTTCTGTTAGCATCTAAGAGTAAGGACATTGAAAATGAAAAGCAGAAAGCACTTCTGAATAAATGCTTTGGTTACAAATATCTGAATAATTTACTTTATAGATATGAAAATATATGGGAAAACAAACATACATATACTAGGTAGTATACCTGAAGTAGGCTTGCATATTTCTTTTCAATGTTAGAGAAAAAAAACTAAATAACATTCTGGATGGATAACTAAGATCCTGCAGGGTCCCTTCTGGGCCTAAGTCCCCTAATAGCAGTGATGCCTGAGGCCAATACTACATTGTAGAAATTAGATGTAGTGCAAATTGATTTTTTTGTTGTTTATTTCAGAAACATAGTGAGCTTACAGAATTTTGCTTTTTTTCTATTTTGTGTGTCCAGGTTTTGCTAGATATCATAATCTAAAACATTTTCAGATTAAACTACAGAGCACAAAGTGACACTCAAATGTACTGGTTAAACACTAACAGTAAAAAAGGCTTTAAAATTAGGAAGATCTATTGGGAGAAAAACCAAAAGAGAAAACAGCAGAGGTGGTATTCAGCAGGTTCTGACCAGTTCTGGAGAACTGGTAGAATAAATTTTGAGTAGTTCAGAGAACCAGCAAATACCACCTCTGACTGGCCCTGCCACCATCTACTTTCTTTTGATAAACATGGTTAGAAGCAGCTATCAAAATTAATAGCTAAAAGAATACATTGGCTGTATTTTAAACAAAAAAAACTTTGTTAATTACCATAAACATGTATTATTTTATTTTCTGTTCATTATGGCATGCAACCCTAGTATTGAAATTTCTTTGTCACAAAGACCTTATATATTTTTTGTCATAATTTGATTATAAAAGCCACTAATTTTCTTCAGTGCTGGCTGGAGCCACTAATTTTTCAGAGCTGGCTGGAGTTATATGGCCCATGTTATTCAAGCTTGGTAGTTTTTTAAGATATGCAAATATAGGAACAGATTCTGTAGCAAAACCTGGCTTCTAGCAGCAAGGAATATGATCTTCCTCTGCTATGATTTCCTCTGCACTAGTACAAGAATATATAAGAGGAAGAACAGAAATATTTCATATTTCAAGTAGTAATTCCTTAGGAAATTATTCTTTGAATTTGTGAAATTAATAGAAATACTATAAAGGTAAATAAGACATTAGTACATACAATATTGTCCCAGAACAAGGCTATTATCGCCAATAGGAGAAACTTTCATCCAACATAGGTAGTCAATTATAATTGAGCTGACAATTTCAGTTATAAGTCAGAGTGGTCATTAAGCAGATCACATGATCACACTCAATTTTCCTTTTTTGTAGCAATCATAAAGCAAATGTGATGGTCATTACTGAACCCATTGTTTGCTATGGGGACCTTTTTGCCAGAAACAGGAAATAAATACTGGTTTCTGGCAAAAATGTAAAACATGGTCACAATTGCAGGTGCTGCAAACAGCCATAAATGAGGGCTAGTTGCCAAGCCCCCAAAATCTGGTCACATGACTGCATAAAGGAGAAGCAGCCACATAAACCTCAAATCTGGATCAAAAATATCTTTTTGGAAGGTCCATCATACCTCTGAATGGTCATTAAGTAACTAATCATAAATTTACAACTATCTGTAATCAGAATCTAGCGCATTCTATATTTGAAGCATTCAAATTTTACACTTTTACTGCCTAATAGTTATAATAGATTATACGTATTTCTATATTTTGTATGCATTGAATACATATAACAGTAATAGATTAAATAAACAGCATCTAGACAAATCTTTATGTAAATAATATTGATACGGCAATGTAAACAAAAAATAATAAATGTTAAGTGTCTGTTTCTAAAAAATAATGGGACTATAGAATATTTTTAAAAGGATACTTCACATTTGATTCACTTTGAATAATGCAGAGAAATGTAATCAGCATAATTATAAAAACTAGAATATAAAGAACATCCAAATGCAATGCCCTCTTTTCTTGGCAATTTAAATGAAATAAGTATTGTATTTGATGCTTAAGAAGAATATAACCAACATAAAAGGAATGTATATTCAATTGTGGGTTAACACCTAGTTGGGTAATGAAATGTCTGCAAGCAAAGAATCAACTCAGAGAATAAGAGCTCCATAATTTGGAGTCCCTCAGCAGGTTGCAGTCAAAACTTTTATAGAAAGCAATGTGGCAAGGATATTAGTATTGTATAAAATTGTTTAATTATATGCCATTCAGGGCAAGTATACAAATATTTATTAGTTAAGGCCCCCTGCACTCAGTGGGTTATGACAGCTAGGTGTACACAGTTATTTGGTTTTCAATTCTTAATGGGGCCTAAGAAGTGAAATCAAATACCCCATGAAAAACTGGTATTTTAAGATCCAATTTGAATGGAGGATTCATTCTCCATGAACCTATTTTACAATTAGCAGGCATGTTATAACAGTAACACAGTCATATGTATTTATATATTACTAAGTTTGTAAAGGTCTATTGTGAAGGTTATTGGGGGAAAGCAAATGATGGCACACACAAGATTACCACATATTAAGCTACAGGTAGGAAATAACAGCATTTGGATATGTAAAGGAACACTTCATTAATTTAGCACTGCAGTTTGCTATCTACACTACTAGTGATTTATTGTATATATCTGAACTTTTATTGACTATCCTGCATTGTAACTTTTTTTCCTACATCATGGCATACTTCAGTGCTACAAATTTAATCTATAAGGATTTGAAGATATATAACTCTAATAAATATTGTATTTTATTATTTAATTATAAAATTATTAAAATAATAATGTAGACAAAAGCCAATTTTGTTACTCTAGTGGTTAAGTCACCAGGCTAGAAACCCAAAACTGTGAGCTCTAGTCCCCATTTAGCCATGAAAGCCAGCTGGGTGACTTTGAACCAGTCACTCTCAGCTCAAGCCACCTCACAGGGCTATTGTGGGGAATATAGGAAGAGGAAGGAGTGTTAGGTATGTTTGCTTCCTTGAGTTATTTATAAAAATGATACAAGGTGGGCTAAAAAAAGAAAACTAATGCCTGAAGAAAACCATAGTACTGAAGAAATCTTACCACACAACTGTGAGAGCATATAGTTATTACAAAAGTGGGGAGGTCCATAGAAATACTTTTTAACCTTCGTCATTAGAATATTTCCCAGCATATTATGTGGGAAATGTCAGGAAGCTGCCTCAATGCAAGACACCCTATTTATGGCCTTGCAAGGGCTACCGAGCCTGAGGCGTCTTTCACGTGTTTCTGCTTTCTCAAGATGCGCCGTAAGTCGAGGGCGAATTCTTCCACTTTTCCACTCACAAATCGCTGCATCGAAAACGCGAAAGGCAACAGCAGCCGGGTCCAAAAACAAAAACCCAAACCTCTTGCCTTTCGCCCCACACGGATTGGGGTACAAAAGCGATCGGGGAAAGCTTTTCTAAGGAAGCTCTAGGGTTACGGTGAGCTCATGGCGGATTCTCTCGACCTGTGTGCCCTGTAAGAAAGAAGAGGTTCAGCCTGCCCAAAGAAGTAGCACTTACGGGCGGCCACAGCCTTTTCTTTTTCCACCCGGGGAAACCCCCATTCCCTGCCTCAACCGGTCCCGAAGGGAAACGGCAACCCGAGAATTTGGTGGCGTCCACCGTGGGAAGAAAGGGGTCGGGGAAAACGTTGGGGCGGAAACGGAGAGAAAGAGCACGAGAGTGGCGGAGTGTCCCCTAACGGCTTTATCCACCACCAACCCATAACCACGGGGACGTGGGCGGGGCTCAGAAGTGCACGCGGGAGGAAGAGGACTGTGGGGAAGGGGGGGGGGTGTTCCGTGCATGCGCGTGGAACCGAAGAGGGCACTGGATTCTTTTTTTTTTCTCGAGCGAGCGCGCGCGCGCGCGCGGCAGCAATGCCTGCACTTCGTCAGCCCGCCCGCCGCCCCCACTTCTCCTCCTCCTCCTCCTCCTCCCCTCCCCTCCACATTCTGTGTCCCGGGTGGCCGCAGCAGTTCCTCGGGACCCAGTGTCCTTGTGCGGAAATGACACACGGTCCCGTCACGTCACGCGAGAGCGGAGCGCGCGGACCCTCTAGCACACAGATACACGCGCGCACACTCACACACGCACACTCACACAAAGCGCCAAGGGGGAGGGAAAGCCGGGGGAGCCAGACACGGCCGTTCTTTTTTTTACATATATATATATATATACTTATTTTTTCAAAAAAAAAAAAAACCCCGCAAACCCACTCGAGACCAAGAGGCCAAGTGTCCCCACCCTCCTTTTTTCCAGTGCCTAAAGACGGAGCCAGGTAAGCCCCTTCCCTCTCCCCAACTTTCTCAGCTCGGGCCCCGAGGCGGCCCCCGCGCGTTATCTCCTCGCGGTGCGCTGCCGAGATGACTAGCTCCGCGCCTCCGGGAGAGCGGGCGCGTCGGGCGGTCTCCCCGGCTGGCGCAGAGCGGCTGTGGGGAGCCATGGCTGTGGTATCGCGGCCGAGCAGCTCGGGCGCCGCCACCCCCACCCCCGTCGGTCAGCGGGAGGGAGGGCGAGAGGAAGGAAGGAAAGGCTATTTCCCCTCCTCCCGCCGGGCTTCCAGCTTCCCCACAGAGGGGGCTTCCGCGGGATTGTGAGGGTGAGGAAAGGAAAGCCTTGTGGCGGCGGCGGCAGCTGCTGCAGCAACGGGAAAGGAGAGACGCGCTGCTGAGGAAGGGCCGCCTGGAAAAGGCGCTTCAGCGCGTAGCCAGCGAGCCCGGCCGTGGCCCCAGTCCGCCTTCTCGCTTGCTTGCTTCACTTCAAGTCCCACCTCCTCCGTTCTCGTTGCCTAGAAACTGCTCCCCGGATGGCAACGGGATCCTCTTTTGCGACTACTGGCGGGGCCGGGGGAGGGAGGGGGTGTTGGCACGGTCGCTGCGCCTGCCGACCGCGGCACTGTTGCCGATTAAGTTCTTCATAAAAGTTTCTCTCCTTGCCAGTCAAGTTTGCGAGGGAGAGGGCATGCATCCCTCGCGTCGGCCATTTGGGGTGGGGGTGGAGGGGAAAGAATAGCCACGTGACCCGAAGCGCTGCCTAGCAATCGTGTGAAGGGAGGGGTGCTGAATGTCTTCGCTCCTTAGGTTACTTTAAACCAAAGGTTTGGGTCATCCATGACCTGGATGACTGAGAATCTCTGCAGACTCTTTAGGTTACTTTACCTGACTGGGCCAATTTTCCTAACCTAGATGGTTCTTTCGGGATAAGCCATGGGCTTTTTTAAGTCCCCGTGGTCGAATTGGCCAGAGGGACTTAAGAAGTAGCCTAGAGAGCATAGCCAGGTAGCTAGGGAGCTCAGAGGAGCAAGCTTAGAGGCATGACTTCGAGGCCAACTTTTATGACAAATGGGCCTGTTCCATCCATAGAGAGAACCTGCCGTAAGGGAGAACCTGCTGAAAAGAGACTGCAAGATGGTGCTGGCAGAAATAGGGACTTGGCAGGGAGGTTTGGAAGCGGTGGAGTCCATTTGAGATGCTGCTGACTCCAGACAACAGGAGTGAATGAACAAGCACAGTCGATGCTCCACTGCTCCCAGTTGCTGAAGCATGTGTGCATTGTCTTGAGAGGGCAGAACAGAGCGATGAGGGTTGAGTATCCTGGGCCACACTTGAGCATTCAGATGCCACACTTCATAGGACACCTAGGCAAACAACTTGCCTCTTTAGTTCATCGCCCCTGATCGATCTTGCTGTCCTGAATTTGTTTTACTATCGGCTCAACAGATGCAAGCTTTTTAGCTCTGGCTGAGATTAGATGAGAAGGTGAAAAAAAGAGGATGTCATAAGAGTTGTTGCTTGAGGCTCCCCAATAGGGATCCGCATTAGCTTTTCCAAGGAGTAAGACATATTTTAATTCCTTGGGAAGCCATGAAAATTTCATGTGGCAAAAAACTGCTTGCTTGCTTTTGGTGCTCAGAGATAGCTGTCATTCCTACTAAGGAAGTTAATGTGGCTGCTTCTTGCAACTTCCATTTTGTATGGTGATCTGATAGGCATATAGTAGCTATCATTATCACTACTGGAGAAAATGGTGTTTTTAATTTTGTGGGTATATACCTAAGAGACTCAAGCTACCTGGGAATTCCTAATGTTCATAAGCCTCCCCTATTCAAGTAACTGCCAGTGGTAGGGTAACTGGAGTGACAGGGCAAGTAATACCTCAGACAGTTAGCTTCCCCCCCCACAATCCTCTTATACTTTATTGCTTATACTTATCTTTATTATTCTGTAAGTTTATAGTAGTATATTAGTATATTATATAGTAACAGCAGTGACAGTATAAAGTATACTGTTGTATATAGTAGTATATTATATAATAGAAGCAGTGACACTATAAAGATATAGAAGAGATTTTGGATAATGGAAACTGGCTAATGATAGGCTTCTTTACAAATTACAGATGTTAATACCTTCACAGCATTTATATCAATGTAAGCATGAATAGGATTGCAGTCATAATTGTTTGTTGTATAAGTTTATGAAAGAGTTTTGTAGGTATTTATAATAGTTTATTGGATAATATAAAACCTTGGATGGATCCTTTTCCTATCACACATGCACAAGTCCATAATCTAAAGCATTGCATTATAATAGAAAGGCATACGTCAAAAGACATTATTCTCGAAAAGAAATTGTTTATTATTAATGCCCTTTAAAATTCTTTGTAAACCCCCCATAGTTGGCACCATTTTCATTTCCTTTTTAGTAATAATTTTATTAAGAAATATAATTACATTAGCAAAAAACCTGAAACTAACTAAAAAAACTAAAAGAATAAAAAGAAAAAGTGCAGAAAAGAAAGGAAAAGGAAAAATTGAGAACCAGAAAAGGGAAAAAAATAGAATATAGCAAAGAAAAAGAAAAGAAATATATACACTAAAGAAATGACTTCCCATCTTCATCACAAATATAAATAATTTTAGGAACTTATCACCTCTTAAAATATAGCAAATGATTTCTTATTCCCATATTTAATATCTTTATAAATAAATCCATAAAATCATTATTTCAATGTTGATGCCAACAAAAGTCCATGGAAGTTCCTAAGAATAACAACATATTTATAGAAGGAGCTTACAATCATTTTTTAATTGACCGAAGTTACGAAGGCACTGAAAAAGTGAATGAAGTTTTTCACATGACTGCTCCAACATCCCCATGTTCACATGATCAAAATTCGGATGATTATTAGCCAGTTAAATATGCTAACTAGATAAGTAGCTCAATGATTGCAGTGCCTCAGGGTCATGTGATTACTTCTTGCAGTCTTCTGATAAGCAAAGTCAGTGGGGAAGCCAAATTCACTTTACGACTGTGTTACTAACTTAACAATTTCAGTTATTCATTTAACAATGGTGGCAACAAAGGTCACAATGTGAGGCCAAATTCATATAACTGGCACTTAGCAACAGAAATTTTGGGCTCTATTGTAAATCAAGGACTACCAATATTAGCCTTGATCAAATAAATCAGCTTTATATTTCTTCTAGTAATCATAATCTTTAGTCCATTCAAATTTGACTTCTTTTCATTTTTTTTTGTCCCTTCTCACAAAATTCTTTAAAACTTAACAAGTCTCTTGTAAATCCAGTAGAGGAAAATTATACAAACCAGTGTCTTTGTTCATTGTGTAATTTTTTTTGTTTATTAAGACATCAGCATGTTTCTTTTGTGTAACTAATGTAATATCTTTTTCCATGTCACTCTGATTATATTAAAATCCACTTTAAACTTAGTCTTTATTTTGTCAAGTAGAACTTGTTCCTTTTCGATAATATCTTTTAGACATGGTCTATCTATAGATGCAGACACTATTAAAATTAGCTTTTGCGTCAATTGTTTAAAAATATCCTTCAGTATGTCCAGTCTTAAGATATTTTGCTTCACTCTGTAACTGTAAGTTGAATTTCAGTGTTCTTCTTCTTCAATTGTAATCTTTAGTTCCTTCTAGTTCCCTCTAGTGTTCAATTTTTAAAGTCATACTTTATTATTGGTAGTCCTTGACTTATGACCATAATTGAAGAGGAATTACTATCATAAGTAATTACAGTCATAAATCAAGACACTCAAATGACCTGAAGTACTTTTCAATCTTTTTTTGCAGCTGTCATTAAGCAAATACTATGGTTGTTAAGTGAATACTGCAGTTATTAAGCAAATACAACATTTGTTGTTTTTGCCTGAACCCTGCAAAAATCTATCATGAATCACAATCACATGTTTGGAATACTGTGACTGGTCATAAAGTTGGCTGGCTGACACGTAATTTAATCTCAGGTGGGCAGCATGATCATTTATAACTTCAAACAGTCATACTGTGACCATTTAAGTGAGGATTACTATTGTGTTTTTTAATTCAAAAGAAAATATTTTTTCCACAAGAAGGGTTCGTTATTCCAAATCTTATTTCAAGTTTATCTGGTTCCTTAATTCATTCTAAAATCTAATTTTGAATTACCCTTTTGCTGTTTTGGTATATTGGTGCTATCACCAATGTACCTAAAATCTCCCTTCAAGACCATTCAACTGAATAGGTGAAATTGAAGAATAAAATGGACTGAAGCAGTATATATATATATAGATCAGGAAGAAAAGCATAGATCTTTTGTGCATACTGTACACTTTTATTTCTCATGAATGGAAGTCTCGTCGCCTAAATAAAGCTTGAGAAAACAAGGAATGAATTAATCTAACTTTTTAAAATTATTTTATAGAAGAAAACAGTTGAGAGTTCTGAAATACTGCTTTAATAACCAAACGGGTGTGCATTTAGATAAACAAACTACTGATCTATATTATGTCCCAGAGGCTAAAGAACATATTAGCCTGTTTCCATTAACAGTAATGTCAAATCCTGGTGGCATTTCAACCAACTTCTACTCTATTGGAATAAAATAGAAAATGCTTATTTAGTGTCAAAGCAATGACAAATGTGTATACCTTCATACACAATAACCTCATAGTCATTGAGTAGGTAAAAACTTCCCATTGATGATTTGGTATCGGGCATAAGATTTTCCTTACTAGGAAAAAAGCAGGGGATATTTGCAATTGTTTCTCTCCATGTTTATTTAAAACACACATAAAGGGATATTATTTTATGTTGTAATAAATGAAAAAGAATGCATTTAAAGCAGTTGCAGAAGATTGGAAGATGTACAGCCAATGACTATTTCTATTGCATACTTCTTTTGTTTGTTCGGATATTGGAAAGAATTTATGTCAACAGTTAGAACCCATAGGATGGCAGCCTAAGTTATTAGAATGAATATAAGATAATCCTTTTTCTAACAATGAACTTATTGTTCCAAAATAATTTAATAGATCAAATGTATCTCTAAGATTTCCAATCCAACGTTAATTTCTTGAATGCAGAATTCTTTTTATGGAAATAATTGTTCCAAATCTCTTTCGTCTTTACTTAAAAGCTACTCTAAAAAGCTTGATAATCCTGTAATAAAATGAGAAATTGAATGAATAAAAAAAATCTTCCCTCCATCCCCACTAACTTCTATTGTGGAAAATCAATTTAACTGAAATGACTTTAATGGAAGTCTCATTCACAAGAAGGCTCATTTGGATCCAAGTCTGACATGACATATCATTAATATACTGTATTGTGCTTAGGAATATCTGTGTTGCTAGTCTCTGAAAGAACCAACGTATTTTGTACAACTTTGATGCAGTCTGACATTATTGTACTTCTTTACATTATTAATAATATTAATTCATGACCCAGGCAACATATTTTATTCTCCTAGCCTACCAAACAGTATAAGCAAACATTGCCCTTGCATAGAATTACAGTGTATTCATTGTTGCTTAAAACTTAAGTATGGCCTACAACTTGATGTACATCTTACTTATGCACCAGAAATGCTACATTTGGGTCATGGATTTACATTGTGCTTTTATTTTGTCTTCTATTTTTTTCTTTTTCTATTGATGTAGAGGAACAGAATATGAATTCAGCTGAATTATTTGATGATGAAGATAATACTGACGGTACTGTTCTTTAAATATATTTTCTTATCAAATTATATTTATGTAACCAAAGCCAATATTTATTTTGATTTAAGTATTGTAATAATGAATTGGGCAATTTAATGTATAAATGTTATTTTTTCACTCTCCAGTTAATGTTTTTTTTTCTCCTAACATCTTACATACATTGTGAGAAAATTGAGATTTTATACATGTTCAGTTCTAAATAAAAATAGATGATAACCAAATACTTTTATTCTGAGAAAGTATTAGCAAAATTATAATTGGAAGGTTCACTGGTTCCTTGGTAATATCTTGATCATTCTTCTTTCCTATATTAGCAATATGAAATATGCCTGATAGCAAATGTAAAAAATGTTTTCAGTTTGAAGGTCAAAGTGAGTTCAGACAAGCATTTGAGGAGGATTATGGCCCCAAACAGGTAGAACCATATTTCAGATGGGAACACCATCTTACTATAGACACATAACCTCTAGCACAGTGGTCCCCAACCTTTTTTGTGCCGCGGCCCAGTACCGGCATCACAAAATCATCCGTGGCCCGGTACCAGCATCAGCACGCATGGCAAGGCGAGCCGAGCGACCGGCCAGCCAGCCGACCCCCGCTTCTCCCCGCCACCTTCAACTCCTCCTTTGTACCTGTGTTGACGGGCTTCGCGACGGCTTCGGGACGGTCGCTCAGCTCACCTTGCCATGCGTGCTGAAAGAATCCTCGCGCCTTAGGTTTGTTCGAAGCCGCCCCCCCCTCGATGAAACTAAGGCGCGAGGATTCTTTCAGCACCCAAACGCTGCTTTCTACCTGGAAAAGCTCACCGGAAGCACTTTTTCATCAAAACAAGATGGTGGCGCCCAGCAAACCGGCGGCCCGGTAGAAATTGTTCCACGGACCGGTACCGGTCCCTGGACCGGTGGTTGGGGACCCCTGCTCTAGCATACATTCATAAGCAGGACATTGAATTCATATATTACTATTTGCATATTCATTGTCATAGGAGAATGACTTAAAGCCTGATTGTAGCTGGTGTGGGAGTAGTTTTTAGAGGAAGGTTTCAACTTTTGAAGTTGAAAGGTTACCTTTTTTTTCTTTCCACCAGTGCCCCCTGTCATTTCCATTATTAGCATAACATATGGCCAGTAACTGAATCTGATTTAAAACCTTGCAGAGATTTCATCCTTTTATCTTTAGTTTATCCCTTTGGATGGGAGCTACCTGAAGCTGGGGTGGGGGCAGTCAGGGCCTAGAGGAAAGGGTAGGATTTGAAAAGAAGGAATGCACCTCCTAGATGTTTTTCAGATAAGTTGAGGCCAACCATGTGGTTGCACAGGTAGGCACCCCTTTCAACTAATACCTTGAAGCACCTTTTGATTTTATGACAGCATTCAGTCTTTTGGTGCAGTAACTTATCAGCATGGCACATCTTGCCTTTGAAATCTTTGCCCACTCTTCCTTATAAAAGCACTCCAAGTCTGCCAGATTTTGAAGGCATTTCCTGTACATAGCCCTCCTACAAATCACCCCACAGATTTTTAACTGAGTTCAGGTCCGAATTTTGGCTTCATTGTTCCAAAACTTTGATTTGTTGGTAAAGCCATTTGTTTGTTGATTTGAAGGCATGCTTTGTGTCATTGTGTTGAAAGGTGAAATTCCTCTTCATCATCAGCATTTTAGCAGAGGCCTAAAGATTTTATGTGAAAATTGACTGATTATTGAACTGTTCATAATTTCCTCGACCTTCACTAAAGCCCCAGTTCCAGATGAATAAAAGCAGACCCCAAAGCAGAGTGCTGTTTCATGTTTCACTGTTGGTGATACACAGTGTTCTTTTTGCCCCAAATACGCTTTTGGGAATTATGGCTAAAAGGTTCAACCTTGGTCTCATCAAACCATAAACTTGGAAATTGTTTTATACCCTTCTCTTGACTGTTATCTTCCAACGAGATCCATTTGATGCTTTGTAAGCTCTTTGTAGCCCAGGCCTTTTTTGTAAGAGGCAACTGAATAAATGTCAGAAAAATCCTACTGAAAAATCCAGTTGAACTTTTTTTGGGCTTGATCAAAATAACTTGAATTGATGGCACCTGTGTACTATTTACCATCTATTTGAATGTGACTGGTAGATTCTGAACACAACCACATCCCTACTTATAAGAGGATGCACACATTTATGCAACCATATTGTACATTTTATTGTTCTTTCTCCCCCCCCCCAAAAAAAAAGATTTCAGTTTGTTTTTCAGTTGAGTTGTACAGATTATATATCACATTAAAGCTGGAAAACATTCTGAAGTAATTTATCTTGGTCTGATTATTTTACATCTCAAAAATCTGGCATTTTAACAGGGGTGTATAGACTTTTATATCCAGTGTATATATGAGTGTATACAATATCCTTGTGCTATTCTCTTTAGCTTAGGCAATATATTACAAAGTGCAGAAAAGCCTAAATCTAAGTAAGCTGATCTTACCCCAATACCATCCATTGTATAGTTTATATCCACTGTATATCATATCAGAACATGTGCCTGGAATCAGTAGCTTATAAATTTCCTATCTGTTACTATTTTTCTTAAATTAGATATTAAAAATAATACAAAAGGAGAAACTGATAAAGAAGATGAAGTGCTAGACTGCTCTGTGATTTCAAGACCTGAAAAAAATTCACTGGATGGTTTAATAACTTGCCTACAAGACATCAATAAGCGAAAACGAACCTCATTTGGTTTGGATGGTTCGGGGAACCACAAAGAAATCTTGCCAAGTGTGAAAAAAAGAGGCATTACACAAGAGGTAACTTCTTTCTAAAATTTATTATTTTATCCTTCTGGGATTATTGATAAATATACCTTTTGATATACTTTTATATCAACAGTGAAATGTATTTGTTCAGACTGAAATAATTTTTGCTATGAAGTTCAAGTCTTGCATTATGGAAGTTTGTATAAATAGTATATTCAAAAGTTAAAAAGACAAGATTCAAAACAGATTTTAAACTATTATTAGATAACATTGATTTAATACATGAGGTGCATTACATTAAAGTAGATTTTATATATTCAAACCAGTAATTTATTTAATATGTCTCGTTTCTTCATATTTTGTCATTAGTATTATAATTATGGCTGAAATTAGAATAAACAGGTTTATCAATATACAAAGTTTCAGTAAGTATCTGACATTGTTTTGTGTAACTGTTCCTCAAAGATTAATCATTGCTGTTATATGTTGAGCCTTGATGTATATACAATCTTAGGTTAGTAAAAATAAATGGGAATATTTAAGCTATTTTTTAATGGGACAACAATACTTATTTCCTTGTGTTTTTAAGATAGAATGTTCAGTGCATATTTGCCTTTGCAGTATTTGAATAAGTATTAGGCTAGTAAAATAAACAAACATAATTTGATTTTAAAGTGTGAATATTCACATATGTTTTTATGTTTTCCATTTTACAATTTGATATTGATGTTGTGAGACAAAATGTGTTTGCAAAATATAGAAATCTGTTGTGTACTGAATTACTGAAGACACACAAACAATGCAAAATATTAGTATGAATTATGACCTAATGATAGAGAAATTCAAGAAATAATCTGTATCAGATACAAATTTATATAAGCGTTTTGCATTATTTTGATGTCTTCATTATGGCCATTAGCACCTTCTTTGACATTTTGTATATTTCCTTTACCAGAAGATAATTATTTACAAATAGATACCAATTTGGACATCATAATAATTCAGTTGTTATACATGATTGCTTAGATTTGAAGGTTCACTGAAGGACTTCTGTTTGTGGAAATCATTATATTGAATGGGGGATGCCAATGATTAGGAAATAAAGGAAATAATTTTCCAAATTCTTACATTTATACTCACTGTTCCAGCGGGAAATCTAGCCTTGCTAGATTTGGGTGAAACAAAGGAACTCTGAAAGAGCAGAGTAAAAATAAGTCACACTTTTTCCTGCTGGTGATATTAATTAGGATCCAAGCAAATGAGCCTGATATCAGAGGGACATGCAGCTTGTTTGAAAGAAGCACTTTGGGAAGCGTGTTAGCATGAACAAAACATTTCTCCTTGAACAGTTAAACAGTTGTTCTTTCCAGAAGGCTTAATGTCGCTGCTTTGATGGCTTTTACAACAATGGATTGTGCATGTAGGGTAGATTGTTTGGTGTAGTAGTTAAGGTACTGGACTAGAAACCAGGAGACTGTGAATTCTAGTCTTCTCTTAGATGTGAAAGCCAACTGGGTGACTTTGAGTCAGGTCCTCACTTTCAGCTCAGTCACCTTACATGATAGTTGTTGTATGGAAAATTGTAGATGGGAGCATTATATAAATCCCTTTTCTTCAGAATAAAAAGGTGATGATGATGACAGTAATAGGCATATTCAAGCAACATTTCCACAGATACAGGGGGAAAGCTTGAATCAGCTGTGACAAGACTTTCAGAGGATTGAGCTGTTCTCCCATGAGCTGTTCAGAGCATCCAGTAGTGGGAGGTGCTTCAGTCTCTTCATGTCTAGACTGGGCTTAATTTGTGGAACGCTCCTCCTCCTCCATGGGACTCCTCCCCAGCGTTCCCCAGTTTTGGCTCAGCCTCATGAGAGATAGGCAGTGCTGGTGATTCTTCCTTGGCCGAAATAGGAAAAATTCTTTCCTTGCTAGCAGTTTTGAAAGTTAATCAGCTTGTCTTTAGAATCCTTTAGCCTTCTAATTGCATTGCGATCTCTCGACGTTGGGTCGCATTACAGAGATCGCTCGCATTACAGGGAAGCGCCAGTTCACGCCCCAAAGTGGCGGGAGGCTTCGGCACTGCTCCGCGCACCCTCCCCACAACCGATCTTTCTACCCCTGCCATTCCGACAGATTGCTGCAGAGTTTCTTTTACCCGAACAGTGGCATGAACTCTTTTGCTCCCAACAGAGTCGTATCGTTTTCCTTCCCCCTCTGAACGCCACTTGGGGTGGAAGATTCAAATGCTTAGTGCCTTCCACCCTTTCCCGCCGTTTAGCCTTATAGGAAAAGCCATCGGAGGCTATTCCTTCACACGGCAGGAGTTTGCTGCTGGGGAGCGCGCCAAAAGATTAACGTCCGGAGGCCATCTTTTCTTACAAGACCTCGTGGCCGCGCGCCTGTATTCCATTTCGTGCTGTGTGAGGTAACTCTGTTCCGAGCAGAGGTTCCCTTCTGGAACACTGGGGACCATTATACCCTCGTCTTGTTTTTTTTCTACATTCGAGGCTATTCTTACAGTTAAATTGTTGGCTTAACCCTCACAGCCCAATCAACCCAGCAGCACAACAGTGAGCACCTAGGCCTGTGTCCACCTGTGCAGGGAAGCTGTTGAAGGCCTCTACCCTTATCAATCTGGGCCTTTAGGCGTTCTCAATTTGGCTGTTTGGTTTCTCAGCACTTAGCATCGTGCCACTTAATTAATATTCATATACATATTGCCATATATATATATATATATATATTAGTGGTTATATAATAATAATAATAATAATAATAATAATTTTCTCTTCGGTATAATATTTTAATATCAATAAAATATTATTACTGAGATACGACTCATTATAGATAGGTATTGTTCAAAAAAAAAAGAGGAAAGGGGGCAATAAAAACATCATCAGGGCAACCAGTCTGTCCTCAGATCAGGCCCCTGGGCGTGCCAACCGCCTTCACAGTTTTGCATTGTATAACAAGCATACTGCAATTCCAACGTCAATCGAAATGGCAGACGGTAGCAGCTCTCAGACCTCATCCTTGAAGGTCAAAGCCAAATCTCAGCACAAACCTAAAGGGAATTCTAAAACTTCAGAAAGGGATGCCATCAGGCGCCATAAAGCTTTACAAAAACAGATAGATAAGTGTACATGGGAGGCGCACAAGGTCTCACAGGACTTCCCCTCCTCCAGTCCAGGTCCATCTACCTCTTCCCACCCTCCTCCTCCCCTAGATCTCTCCCTCTCATCCAGGCGCAGCTTGGCTCCCCAAGGCCAACAGGCCCAAGTATCTAGGACACCGACCACACAAAGGGCTCCCAAAGCCACATTCACTCCGACGGCTGCCAGTCTTTGTCAGGACGACATTCTTCCAGAGGAAGTTCCAGAGAGGATGAATGCCTGGATGGAGCTGGCAATCCGCCAGGGAATCGCAGCAGGTCTTCAACACACAATTATGACCAGGGAATATCCTGTGATCGCCGATTATGATTCCCAATCGCTGAGGTCGTTGACCAGGTCGGAGCAACACTATACCCAGGTACAGAAACAGTGGGCCTCTGCAGCGGTGTACCCAGCCCCCACTGGATATGACAGGAAATATTTCAATTTGGCCCCTGATTTCTCAAAATTATTGAATACTCCGGAAGTAGATGAACCTATAGTGGGATTAGTGTCCTCCTCCATTCCCAGTGATGCGCTGGAAGCATTAAAGCCGGAGGAAAAACAGGCCGAGCTAGCCCTACGCAGAGCCCATCAGTCTGACACGTAGGTCATCAGAGCAGCCACGGCCACCTCCTTCTTCACCCGTTCTTCTCTCAGATGGCTCCTCCTCTTACGGGAACATGTCCCTAATTCCAACCTTAGAGCGCACCAAGATATTGCTAAACTTACAGCAGCTGCTGAATTCTCAGCTGACGCAACTTATCATGCAGTCAAGTTTTCAGCCAGGGCGATTACTTCACATGTCATAGCGCTACGCTTACTATGGTTAAAACATTGGCAAGCGGACTTTAAGCACAAATGCAAGCTGGCTTCATCCCCAATTGTGGGAGACAGACTGTTTGGCCCTTCCCTTGATCCGCTACTAATTGAAATCTGAAACAAAAAGAAAATTCTTCCTTCCCTTTTTCAGAAGTCAGATTCTAGAAACCCTCAGTCCTTTTGGAGGGGATCCTTTCGGCCCTTTTACCAGGGATCCTTTTTCACCCAGATATCAGAGACCCCCATCATTCAGACCAGGGCAGCAGCCAGACAGGTCCGACTTTGGGGATAGGAGCAGAAGGGATGGTCAATCCAAGAGATCCTTTCGGGGAGCAGGAAACAGGTCCTTTCGGCATCCAAGATAACTCCCTGGACCCGACCCCCATTGGCGGACGCCTTAAATTATTCACGGACCAATGGGACTCCTCAACCTCTGATTCCTGGGTCAGAGACACGATTAGATTTGGCCTTGCGCTGGAGTTTCAATCCACTCCCCCAGATTTTTTCATGTCATGCCCTCCAGAGACCTGGTTAAACGTAATCTCATGGAAACAGCTATCCAACACCTACTGGACATACGAGCCATCCAGCCAGTAGCCACCAACCAACGAGGGCAAGGTTTCTATTCACATCTTTTTGTTGTTCCCAAAAGTTCGGGGGGGGGGGATGGAGAGCAATATTGGATCTGAAACATCTCAACCGTTTCTTAGTATATCGCAAATTTAAAATGCACACCCTGCAATCTATCTTACTTGGCATCAGAAAGGGTGACGTCCTCACGTCCATAGACCTGATGGAGGCGTACCTATATATTGCTATTCGGCCTTCTCACTATAAATTTCTGAGATTCTGTTATAGTAACCACCATTTTGAATATGTGGCCCTTCCTTTTGGACTAGCTTCTGCCCCCAGGACCTTCACGAAGGTTCTCGCAGCGCTAGCTGCTCATCTCCATGATATCCCCGTATGACTCCAGTGTTATCTTGATGACATCTTGATTTTGTCATCTTCTGCTCATCAAGCAGTCAAAGATACTCAGAACACATTACAATCCCTACAACAACACGGGCTCTCAAT